GGAGAAGCAGGCTCCCCGCTGAGCAGGGAGCCTGACATGGGGCTCGAACCCAGGACTCTGGGATCATGACCTGAGCCAAAGGCAGATGCTTAATGACTGAGACACCCAACCCCCCAATTTAAATTTTTTTTAAAGATTTTATTTATTTATTTGACAGATAGAGATCACAAGTAGGCAGAGAGACAGGCAGAGAGAGAAGCAGGCTCCCCGCTGAGCAGAGAGCCCGATGCAGGACTTGATCCCAGGCTGCTGGGATCATGACCTGAGCTGAAGGCAGAGGCTGAGCCGACTGAGCCACCCAGGTGTCCCCCAATTTTAATATTTAATGGTGGATTTTAACAGCATACTCAGAATTCTTTCATCTCAACGGGTAAACAATATGTAAAAATCATTAGTAAGGCACTTAGCATCTCTATATTTGTCTTCCTGTTCTAAATCTTTAAAATCCAGGACCATTTTGTACTTAGAACCCACTCCCGTTTGGATATAAGTTTTCAACAAAGTGAAAGCCAGTCCTACCAATAGTGGGAAACTACTCTACACAGACTTTGGTTTGAAATTTACGTTAATTAAAATAAAATTTATAATCCAGGTCCTCGGCCACGCTGGTCACGTTTCCAGTGCCCAGTGGCCACTGGCTGCTGTATGGAATGGCACGGAGAACACGGTAGAACCAAAAATCTTCGTTGGCTATTACGACGCTGCCGTTAGCTACTATGTGGCTGAATGGTGACTAAATGAGGGGACAGGCCCAAGAGAATGAAGGTGTGAAAGTAGGGGGAGCCCAGCGAGCCCGATGGCCCCCGGGCAGACAGGACACAAGTGTGAAGGAAGGAGGTTGTCCTCGGGGCCACCGTGCAGGCAGGCACTGTGGGCATCAGGAATGGGGCTGGTAAGAAAGGAGCTGGCTGGAGGTCTGGGGTCCAGGACAGATGGGACAGGGAGCTGGTGCCAGAGAGGGGAAGGGGCCCCGTGGCCAGGTGGGCACACTGAGGTGGGGGTGCTGGAGGCCGGCAGGAAGACAGGGCCGGGCTCAGGCAGGAAGTCGGGGCGTTTGAGGGATAGAAGGTGAGGCTGGACAGTGGCCCGAGGAGGGGGCCCTGCAGAGAGCCTAAGGGCGGGAAGAGGGGCCGGGAGTGTGGGGCTGCGGACTGGTTAGAGGCGTGGGGAAGGACTGTGGGCCGGGAAAGCCGGGTGTGGACAAGAGCCCGAGCCGGGGAACGGCACCCGCCTCCCAGGCTGCTGGAGAGAGAGCCCGGGGGGAGGTGGGCCTGTGGAAGGATCTGGAGAGGCTCCTGCTGCTGCTCAGGGTGAAGAATGCACGGCTGGGGGGGTGGCCGTGGCCCTCTGACCATTTAGGGAAGGCGCACCAGGAGGCACGGTCAGAGTTTACGGCTGGGTGGGGTCGTTAGAAATCTAACTGAGGAGTTAGAAGGTGACGGAAGCCTGGACCCTGGTGCCCACACTGTGGGCACTGCTCGCCGCCCCATGTGGAGCCTCCCACCCTCTCGTTCCCCCGCGTGGCTTGTCTTTTTGCAGAAACGCCCAGATTGTTAGCGCTTGCCTCGCAGTCATCGGCACCTTCCCCGTCCGTGTTCTTGAGCCCCTCCCTTCCCTCTGCAGCTTTGTCTTCCCTTGAACTTGTGGTTCTCCTGAGTGCCGAGCTGCAGACGGTGCTGAGGCTTCCCCCTCTGTTTCGGGGACAGCATAACCGGAGGGAAGATAACCCCTCCCCTCCACGTTCACAGTGGCTCGTGGCTGTGCTGGCCACGGCCACAGGGATGTCACCTTGAGAATGCAGGACACCGTGTCTGACGCTGAGGCTGGCCCATGGCAAGTGGCCTCTCGGGTCCCCGGGACCTTCTGTGCGTTCTCTGGAGTGAGAGGACACTGATGGGTGCAGGGCGTAGTGACATGGGGATGGCCGCACAGGCTGGACCCCAGAAAGTGAGGGAGAAGCAGCAACACCCCTGGCTGTCTCTCCACGCAGGTGGGAAGGTTGCTGGGGAAGGGAGCGGCGTTCGCAGCGGGACTCTACAACGTCTCCGCCCCCCCCCCCAACCCCACCCCTCTCCGGTTGCTTTAGGTTTGGCGTGCGACTCTGAAGCCAGCCCTCTCCTGTGTCCACTAGGATTTCCAGAATAAGGAGCCTTAGCCAGATTGCGCACCCCCAGCAGGAAGATACACCCCCTTATTTGGCCGTCAGTTCATGCATCCTTAAAAGGGTCCTTTGAAAGTGGGGCCTGTAGTCAGATGTTAGCCAGACGTTCTTGGAACCATCCTCGTAAATGTCCTGATGTGTTTCCTTTTTGGGTTCGAGAAGATGTACATCCAGGCCTACAAGACCAGCAACCTTCGGATGAAGATCGTCAAGAACGAGTTCCCGGGCCGGCCCCTCTACCTGGAGGGCGCCCTGACCCGGAGCGCCCACTACCAGCAGTACCAGCCGGTCGTGGCGCTGCGGAAGGGCTACACCGTGCACTGGGACCAGGCGGCCCCCGCCGAGCTCATCATCTGGCTCATCAACTTCAACAAGTGAGTGGACGCTGGCTGGAAGCTGCGTGACCGGGGGCGGCCGCTCCCCTGGAGCTCAGGGCTGCAGTGAGCTCATCTCCCCACGAACGCCCGGGACCCCAGGCCAGCCGGAGTCAGCCTGCAGAAGGACGCTTCTACAGGGGCTGAAAGCAGCCAGTAGTGAGGGGTCAGAGACCCGGGCTGAGCCCCCCGCTGTGGGCATGGCTGGCCTCAGGCGCAGCGTGGGCTTCAATGGGGGCTGTCTGTTGCTCTGCCCCATCGAGGAGCTGGGGCTGGTGTCACCTCCCAGGGCCTCCAGGAGAGGGGACGGAACAGCATGTTGCTCAGGATCTGGCCTCACAGACGTAGGCTCGCGCGCTTTCTGGGAACATGGTCCCTGTGTCCCTGGGAGACAGACGTCAGATGTGGAAAACAACACCCCGAGACAGGAGTGGGCCCCGAGATCGGGCTGGGCCAGGGGCTGAGCCCCGTCCTCCCGATCCTGGACTCCTCGGCAACAACCGGATGAGAAGCGTCTTTCTGCTCTCGGTGCAGCACCCCAGTGCAGGCCTGGGAGGCACCCAGTGAGCCCTCCCGTCCCGCGCACTCTGCACAGACCCCAATGTGGCAATGACCCCCGTTGCAGAAACGGAGGTGCCGTCTGGGGGAGGCTGGCTCCATCTCTCTCCAGGCCCTGCCCCAGACACTCTGGGGCCCCGGACGTCCCTGGTCAGAACCTGACCTTCCTTCTGTCTTTAGGGGCGACTGGATCCGTGTGGGGTTCTGCTACCCCCGAGGCACCACCTTTTCCATCCTCTCAGACGTGCACAATCGCTTGCTGAAGCAGACGTCCAAGACGGGCACCTTCACGCGCACCTTCCAGATGGACAAGGTGCAGCAGAGTTTCCCGGGCAGGAGCCATTACTACTGGGATGAGGACTCAGGGTGAGGAGTCCCCACGTGGCCCCATGTGGCCCCCCCTCACCGACCCTTCTGGGAGGCCCCAGAGCCACCACCGAGTTCCCAGCCGGGGCGTAAAATGCTTTGCTGGGGACTTCGGTTCAGTGGCCCATGGCATCTTCCAAGCGGCCAAGCTTGGGGGTAAAGCCAACATTCTGTGAAACACACGCGGGGGTTGTAGCAAATGTGCCTGTTCCGGGAGCAAAGTGACAGCAATGAATCTTAGGACAGAGATGCGGTGCGTTACCTCCAGTCCTCACAGGCTGGCGGGAGCAGATGACATGACCCCTCGTCCAGAGGGAGGTGGATGAGGAGGGATGGAGAGGGATCAGCGGTGGCCTGCCCGGGGGTCACTGGGCACGGCTGGGCACGGGCCTATCCGTTCCCAAAGCCCCCCGCCCTGTGGTGAATGGACCCAGGTTCCACTCCGTACAGACGCCAGGGATCGACCGTCTCTCCACGGCGATCAGGGAGATATTTGGTCCCCTCCCCTAAAAAGAGAGGACATCTGACGTCTCAGGAATGCTCACACCTCTGAAGCCTGAGGCTGTCGCCAGCCAGCCCCCCGGGAGTCCGGGAAAGGATTGCTTCACGGCGATTTTCCCATTCTTTTTTTTTTTAAAAGATTAGTTTGAGAGAGAGAGAGCGCACAGAGGGGAGGGGTAGAGGGAGAGCGAGAATCCCAAGCAGACTCTCCACTTGGTGCAGAGCCCAGTGTGTGGCTCGATCTCATGACCTGAGATCATGACCCTGAGCCAAAACCAAGAGTCAGATGCTTAACCAGCTACGCCACCCATGTGCCCCCGTTTTCTCATTTTTTTTTAAGATTTTATTTATTTATTTGACAGCAAGAGAGGGAACACAAGCAGGGGGTGTGGGGGAGGGAGAAGCTGGCTTCCCATGAGCTCACGACCTGAGCTAAAGGCAGATGCTTAATGACTGAGCCACCTGGGCGCCCCCGATCCTTGGTCCCCACAGTCAGGGCCCGCCAACGACAATGCCGTGCCTTATTCAGTTCCGTTACAAGCTCAGGGATGTGAGCTGGGTTCCGGGATGCTTTTTTCCTGGGTAGAAGACCGAACCATTGGGCTTCCCCAATTCTGGCTCTCTGCGCGTGCAGACTGTGTCCTTGGCACTACCGGCCATGCGGGGTGGGGCTGCGGCATCGGGCTGGCTGGGCAGTGTGGGCGCGGCCGAGGTCAGCGCCCGGGGACAGCCCGTGTCAGCGAGGCTAACGTTGCCAGGGTGGGAGTCACCTGAAAGCTCTCCCCAGAACTGAGCCGTCAGTGATAAGCCCCAAGTTGGTGCTTGTCGTGCTCACCCTCGGAGCCCCTGCACCCCCCGGGCCGCGTCTGGTCCTTTCCGGGAAGCGAGAATCCATTCCAGTCCGGAGGACAGCCCTGCCAGGAAGCCTGGGAGCACCTTCCTGACCCAGGGCCGTGAAGGGACGGACCGCCCAGCTCTGTTGCCGTCCTGCTGTGCGATGCTGGGCTACTCACTTGGCTTCTCTGAGCCTTGGTTCCCGGCTGAGAGATCAGGACGGTCCCAGTCTCTACTGCTCAGGGTTGTCTGAGGGTTAGTGAGACACTGCGGGACTGCGTGGAGAGGGGCTCCGAGAAGGGTCCGCGTCCCCTGTTACTAGCTCTCTCCCGGGGGTTTCTCTCTCTCACCGCACACAACCCAAGACAGACGTGGCCTGCTGGCCATGCTGGAGGGCGCTCGCGTCTAATGGGGGCGGCAGGCACATCTAACAGCGGCGGGTGGGTCCCGCGGGGGCTTGGGAAGCCCCAGAGCCGACCGGCTGCATCCCCCTGCAGGCTGCTGTTCCTGAAGCTGGAAGCACACAGCGAGAGGGAGAGGTTCGCCTTCTGCTCGGTGAGAGGCTGCGAGAGAATCAAGATCAAGGCTCTGCTGCCCAAGGACGCGGGCGTCAGTGACTGCACGGCTGGCGCCTACCCCCGGTTCGCCGAGCGGCCGGTCGTGGACGTGCCCATGCCCCGGAAGCTCCTTGGCGCCCAGCTGGTGAGCGGCCGGGGCGGCCTTTGTAACCGGGCCCAGAGCCCACGAGGGCTGATGTGGGGACTGGGGGTGCGGGAGACGTGGCGCGGCTCCCAGACCGACACCCACGCTGGCTGGTCTGTTGCAGAAGACGAAGGACCGCTTCCTGGAGGTGAAGATGGAAAGTTCCATGCAGCGCTTCTTCCATCTCATGAGCGACGTCGCCTACATGGAAGTGAGTGGCCCTGGCCCCTGTGCGGGGGGGGTCTGCCCACGGGGTGCGGTCGGTCTCCTAGGGCTGTTGTCACAAGCCTTCCTCCTCCGGAACACCCTGGAGGACAGAAGTCCAACGTCGGGGGATGGCAGGGCCAGGTCCTTCTCCGGCCTCTGAGGGAGCAGTGGCCGAGGCCTCTGCTGGCCTCTGGTGGCTGCTGGCCATCCCTGCCGTCCCGGCTCGAAGACATGCCCCTCCACGGTGCCTCTGTCCCCACCACCTCCTCCCTGAGCGGGGGAGCCCCACACCCCCAGCTTCCTCCCACAAGGACCCTTATCGCTGGTTTAGGGCCCATCCCAAATCCACGACCACCTCACCTCCAGATTCTTACTCTAAGGACCCCTGCAAAGACCCGATGTCCATGTAAGGTGACTTCCACCGTGTCCAAGTGACGTGGCCGTCACTCAGGCCCCTCTAGAGAACCCACGGAGGAGGGCTCTCTGTGTGGAAGAGCTTCGCAGACAGGCCGCCCCTGGGTACGCACGGGAGCCACGGGGCAGGAGAGCCTTGGGACCCCACATCACAGCCGCGTTGCTCTGCGCCTGCAGGTGGACGGCGTGAAGCGCCCCAGCATGGAGGACGGCCTCCAGGTGCTGGCGGTGGACGGCCACCGGGGCCACGTGCTGAGCCACGCCAGCTTCCGGAACGTCATTCTGCAGGGCGTCCCATGGCAGCTGCTGGAGCACATCACGGCCCTTCCCGACAAGTGAGTGTGGACGCGGCAGACCCCCGGCTGGGCCCCTCCTGGCCACTCCAGCCTGCGGGAGCCGGGCGGGGGTCTCCCCGGGGAAGTGCCGCCTGGCGACTCGTGTTGGAGCCAAGGCCACACTGCATGGAGGTCAGCCGCCGGGCTGCCCGCTTCTGAGTTGGAGGCCCGACCCGGCCCTCTTCCCCGGCCACGCCGCTCTTCCCCAGCGTGATCTCATCCCTCCCACACTTCCAATTCGATCCAAATGCTGGTGGCTTTTGAGTATCTCCAGCCCAGACCTCCTCGGCCCCGGACATTCCTGTCCAACGGCTCCTCGGGCAACGCCATCCGGGTGTCTCCTCCAGGCCCGCCTCTCGCCGGCTGCTGTCCTGCAACCGCCCCGGCCAGCCCCGCCCCCGGCTCGCTCGTTTTGGTTCATCAGCACCGTCCTGCCAGACAGCCCGACCGGAGTCTGGGCATCCTGCTCAACTCCCCTCATTTCCCTCTGTCCCCGTGTCCCCATCAGCCCGTCTGCCCGCACACTCTCCTGCCAGTCCTTCTGGTGGCTGCCCGCCGGCCCCTCTGCCACCGGCACCCTGGACTCAGCCTCCTGGCGGGCCGGCCCGTGCGGCAGCCCCATCAGACCCATCCTCCCTGCGGACCGCTGGCTTGAATTCTTACCTGTACCTCCTGCGCCCTCTGCTAGGAGTCCCCGGGACCTCCCGGCACGTCCCGATCTAACACATGCGCGTCTTTGGCGAGGTCTCTCCCGCTGCCGCCAGAAAGCTCTGTGTCTCCCGAAGCCATAGCCTTGGTGGGGCGGGGGGGCAGGGAGACTGCCGGTCCAGGGCGTGCAGTTCTCCATGTGGGGGCACGTCGAACCTGTGCGTTTCTGGTCCACTGGGTGGAGAATCCACTCTCGAGCCGGGAGCCGGCCGGGCAGGACGTCTGAGCAGAGTGCCGCACGCAGGTGCTCGGGAAATACTGACTGGTGAGACCGTGATGCACGGACACCGGGTGTGCGAGGGGCGTGTCCAGAGAGTGGGAGCTCTGCTTACTCACGCTTAGCCTCCGTGATATCCCCTACTAGAAGCTTCTTAAGCATTACACGTTCACGCAGAAAGATTGGATTTACTGATTTGGGGAAAACTCATTTTTCATCTTGCGGTCTGTAGTTTTCATGCCTTTTTTGGCCAGAGGATTTCTTCTTGTAACAAAACAGGGTGCAGAGGTCTGGAACAGAGCCACCCCGTTTAGGGGAGGGGCAAAGGCATGGGACAGCCCCCTGCCCAGGGCTCCTCTGGGCCCGGGCAGCAGCCCCATGAGCCTCGGGGAGGAGTCCTCATTGAGAACCTGCCGTGAGCCAGCCCCAGGGCCTTGCCGGGGGCCGTGACAGTAACTGGGTAGCAGCAGGCCCCTGTCTGACCTCCTGCGAAGGAGCAAGGAATATGGCAGGGCACGTCCTTCCCCACTCTCGCCCCGGGCCTGCCTGGCCCCTTCCAGCCTGTCCCCAGCCGGCCACTGGCGCCGGGGTCCCAGGGCTAGGAGGAGGCAGCCACTGTCCCCCGGATGGAACATTAAGGACGGCTTATAGGAGCAGGCTCTGCCCTGCCGCCCCAGGGAGCCTCCCTGCTCACAGGTGCGGGGCTCACAGGCCAGGACAGCCCCACACCAGGCAGACAGGGACACCGACAGGCTGCAGGCTTCTGCATGCCCACGAGGAACCCTGTCTCCCTGTCCAGTTCCTGTGAGCTAACCTAGGGCCCTGTCTGGACGGCATGACCTCGGTTTGGGGTCACCCCAGCAGGAAGGGACTCCAGCCTTGGCTCTGAGCTGGGCCAGTGGTGTAGCAGCCTCCTGGGAACACAGCCCGAATCCAGTGCAGAGGGAGTGTTTGCAATGCTCCCCTCCCTAACGGGCTTAACCCCCCAGCCCCGCGGGCCTCCTCCCCAAACTCCTCAGAGCCACACGCAGCCGCAGCTCCCGTCCCGTCTGTCGTGAGGCCAACAAGCCCTCTGCATCTGAGGAGTGACCCTTCTGCTCCCAGTGGGACACGAACGGGGGTGACAGTGGGTTCCACAATCCTGTACAATCTCTCCATGTCTGGACTGTGGTCTGTGGTTATAGGATTCCTTTGAGATGTGAACCGGAAGCCCCGTTGGGCTTCTGTTCCTGGAGGAGGTGCTCACTTCCTCCTGTCTGGCCCAGCAGGCTGAGTCTGCCACTACGAGCCTGTGTTCCCAGCACTTTGGCCTGAACACAACCCAGGCAGGCGAGCCTTGCCCCGGATCTGCACTTTTGCAAGTTGGGACCACCAGGCTGGGCGCACCCCCAGCTCCAGGCCTCTGCCCCCCACCCCTGAGCACGGCTCCCCTTGGACAGGTCCTCTCAGACACTTACTAAACTCTCCCCAATCTCCCCGTTTGCAAACTGAGCCGTAGCGCTGTGTTGTCTGAGCAGAGGGAAGGGACGGGAATGTGACGTTACCCCTTCCCTGAGCACAAGGTAACCCCGGCCTGTGGCTTTCTCTCCCGCCACATTTCTCTCAGTCTTAACCAATAAATGCAAACTGACCTCCCTGCTCCACGTGCCGGGCCCTGGCGGAGGCGTGCTCTGCGCTCCTACTTTGTCCTGTCTGGGGACAGACATGCACGGGCAGCAGGCCGGCGGAGAGCGGGCTCGGAGAGGCCACGGGCACTGACCACAGCCAGATGTGGGAGGGATGCTCAGGATGTCGGTCAGTGCACGGAAAGAGCCGTCAGCGTGACACACGGGACAGGCTGCCCTTTCCCAAACCCCTAGTCGGACCTCTGGGCACTGCTGACCACCTCTTCCCCCACCGTCCCCGCCACTGCCCAGGAGGGGCCCTCCCTCCAGCCTGACCTCTGACGCCCCCTCTCTCGGCAGTTCCATCGTGCTCATGGTGTCCAAGGGAAGATACACCCCCAGGGGCCCCTGGACCAGAGTGCTGGAAAGCCTCGGCGCGGACAAGAGCCTCAAATTGAAAGGTAAGTGGTCTAGAGTGGGGTGCGCATCGACCGTGGGTCCAGATCCCTGGGGTGTGGCTGCTGCTACCCCTTGCTTCCCACCAAGCCTCTGAGTCCTCAGCACAAGTGGTGGCCTTCTGGGATGCACGGGCGAGATGTCCCCTGTCCCCACGCCCACAGGGCAGCTTCCTCTTACTGTGCGGCCAGGCACTGGCAGAAACCTGCTGGAGGTGTTTGCCCGTCTGCTCAGCAAGTGCTCCGCCCGCCTTTTAACAAAATACCCGCAGAAAAGTGGCTCGCTCTGATCGTCCTCCCAGGCTCTGCGGCTCAGCCTGGAAGGGCCCACCTCCCCGCGCTCCGCTCCGGCAGACATCCCGCATTTCCTCCGTGCTCATTTGTCCCTCCCTACCTGGGAGAAAAGGAAAGCCCAGAGATTCTAGGTGGCTCGTCCATGGTCACCCAGCCCTTTTGTGACAAAGTCCAGCACAGACCCCGCAGGGAAGATGCCAGCCGGCCCAGAAATGCGGGCCTGACCCTTGCCGCTGTCACTGCAGGCTATGTTGGGGGGGGGGGTGTCCCTGGGGAGGCTGGGAGGGAGGCAGGGTGAGTCTGGGGACACTCCCGTCCATGGTGGTCCATGTGTAGTGTGCAGCCCTGCCGTGTGCTGGGCACCCTGTAATTCATGAAGAACCGGGCAATCGGTTCCCTGATTTCCATTTTAGATAGAATTAGACACCTGAGTAACTTGCCCAAGATTCGAATTTGGATCTGAATGTTCCTAGTCCAAAGCCAGTCAGGGCTGCTGGCGGCCGTGCCACCCTGACCACGAGAACCCTCTAGCGCTGGCCGCCTGTCCTAGTAGACGGGAACTCCAGGCAGCTCCCAGAGAAAAGTCAGGACCCATGAACAAAGGCCCTTCAAAGTGCTGAAGGAGAACCCCAGGGAGAGAGGTCTCTTTTCTAGCTCAGTTTTGGATCATTTTGGGGCCTCTCTCTTTTTAATTACAATCTGGTTGCCAAAAGCAGCCATTCCTGGGGTGACCTCCGTCGAGCGGTGCTTTCCCAGCAGTGGGAAATGTGTGCGGCCCACCGGCCTGGGCCGTTCCTTGGTATGGACATGGAGGCGCACGGCCCTCCAATGGTTAAGCTCTGAATGCAAGAGGGAGACCACTGTGTGGGGCCGAGGCCTCGCCATCTGGTTGGGCTGCTCTGTCCACTCCGTGCCCTGGACAAAGTTCTTCTAAGCCCACAGCCTGTGGGAGCAGGGTGGGGGCGGGGGAGAGACCTTGTAGTGGTGCCCACCTCTACCAGGAGAGATGGGGTCGCTGGGCTTCAGACAGGGGAGGGTGGGGAGCTCAGCTCGAAGGTGGCGGGTGCTCCTGGAAGGTATCCTGGGTAAAGCAGAGCCACCACCCCACGTGGCTGGCCCCAAGGCTCAGGTGACACCCTGCGTGCCCCCCCAGGTAGCATCTGCATCCGGGCACCGAGCTCTCCCGGGGGCTACCTGGTAAGGGCAGGGAGACGGTGACGGGGAGCCCTGTGAGGTGGGGGAGCATGGCCACTCCCTCGGGGCTTCTGTTCATGGGACCCATCCCCACTTTCCAGAAAAGATGGCATTTGTTGGCTTCAAAGGGGACTTCCGGCCCACCTGGGTGACCCTGGACACGGACGACCACAAGGCCAAGATCTTCCAAGTGGTGCCGATCCCCGTGGTGAGGAAGAAGAAGCTGTGAGGGGCTGCTCATGGTGCTGCCCCCGGTGCGCAGTGATGGCGGACCCCCGCGGCGGGCGACTCCCCCGGCCCTGGCCCCAGTGGGGTCAGCCTTGATGGGCCAAGGGGAGGCGGGCGGCTCCCCTGGCCCTGGCCCCAGTGGGGTCAGCCCTGATGGGCCAAGGGGAGGCCGTCAGAGATGCCTGGTGCTGCCCACCCCCTCCCCAGCCTCCACTCAAGGGTCTCCCTGCAGCCTCCTGGGTACTTCTCTCCTGCCTCTGCAGGGGGGTGGGGAGGCGGGGGGTGTATGAGGAGCCCCGAGCGGTGCTGGCACCTGGAGCCCCGATCAGCCACTCACAGATCTCCGTGCTCCCCAGCGTGCATGGTGGGCGGTGGAGCCGGGAAGAGAGTTGGGTCTTCGGGAAATCTCTGTTCCTGTAAGCGAGCGGCAACCTTCAGGCCTTGGGAGCTGGGGTGTAGACAGCGCTCGCCAAGGCAGGACCGGCTGCCCTCAGGGAATGGGCCAGCCCTGCCTCTGGAGGGGTTCAGCCCTTCTGGAGACTTCAGGTCCCGGGATGGGGGGAGGACTAGGTGACTTCTAGAGGCCCTTTCTGTCGTGAGATTCCAGAAGTCTGTGGCTTTCCGCACCACACACAGACCCTAGCCATAGATGGGATTCTTCCTGGCCGGCGCCTGGGACGCGGGGTGCCCTGGGACGCGGGGTGGGGGCGGTGAGAAGCCAGGCCTGGAGTCAGGGCTTGCAGGCTGGGGGGACAGGCGGTCAGGTCTGCGTGCCCCCCGATGCCAGGCGGAGACTGTGAAGTAGGGAGGATGGGGACCCACGCGGGTGCCCTGGAGGGAAGGATCCCACACACTTGAGGGGTCAGGAAGCTTCCCGCAGGAGGAGAAACAGGCCCGCAGGAAGGAAGGGCCGGGCATCTGGTGGGCAGAGGGGTTCGGAGATGAAGCCGGGGACTGCGGGTCACCCTCTGCCTGCCACTTGCTGGCCACTCTCACGGCCAAGTGTGCCGTGTGGGCGGGCCGGGCCCACTGTGGGGAGCACTTCAGTCCCCAGTCAGCCGCCCTCAGGACCCGGATCGGGGGAGCTAGGCGGAGAGACATGAGCTCCTATTTGGGGCCTCATGGGTTTCTGAACAGGCTCACCCCTCAAGGAACCCAGGGTTTCGGGCTTGGAAAGGACTTTACTGGTGACCTAGGCCCAAACCCTCATTTTGCGGACAGGGCATGTGAGACCTGAATGGGGAAGAACCACAAGCCAGGCCAGGGGGCCGGGCGCCCCATGCCCCGACCTGCTGCCACACCACATTGCCTCAACAACGGGCCCCAGGGTGTCCCGCACCCCCGAGGGAGCTCCCCAGATGGGACCAAGCCCCCTGGAAGGGAAGACGGATCAGAATGGAGAGAACTGGCCCATGGCGGTTTCCTCCTGGCCTTCTGTGCACAGCGGGCACCCTCCCGTGGGCTGGGGGTGGCCCTGCAGGCTCCACGGGGTTCCAAGTACCTGCCACCCCTTGAGAGGGCACCCGGCAGCCACAACCCTTCCCCAGGTGTCCCCTGGTCTGCAGGCCTGCAGGCATGGCCCAGGGGACAGCATCGGGGCACACTGCAAGGCTTCCCGTGAGCTCTGGGGGCGTCTGCAGAGCTGCGGGGCCCACTGCGGGCCTCCAGCGACTGCTCAGCACTCGCAGAGAGTTCCGGGAAGGAGGAAAGCTTCCCTTCTCCTCTCAGGTCCCCGAGTCACCCAGGGGGCCACGAGGAGCTGCGGTTTCCCCTTTCCTGCAACCAACCACAAAGCCTTTCTTCAGAGAGGGCCTTCTTGGCTCCCTGTGCCCGGGCGCACCCGTGACACTCGGGCAGGAAGCCCCCTCCCCAGGCTGAGCCAACACCTCCCAGTTCGCCCAGCGGCTCTGAGGTGGCGGTGGGACGGGGCGGCTGCGGGGCCCTGGGAAGGGAGCCGAGATGACCTCATGTTCGTGGCTACAGTTCTGCAGGGTTTCAGACCCTGGCAGTGCAAAGGGCCTCAGCACTGTGAAGCAGTTGGGATGGGATCACTTTGGGTGGCCAGGACACAGGCTGCCTCTAGTTCAGTTACTTTCCGAAACGACCCATTTGAGATCCCTCAGAGTTGTACATACGTCTAATGGCGCTGGATCTGTGTGCTTTCTCTCCGGGCGCGTTCTTGGTGGTGCAGACTGTCTCGTGGCTTGGAACCCTGCTCCTATGGTCCTCTCTGTCAGCGTTCACGGGAGCTGGGCCTTTAGGGTAAAAGACACTCCTCTGAGATGCTTGTCTCCTTCCTGTTGCCGAAATAGCGGGTCCTTTTTCGGGAATTCGATGTACCGTGTGTTTTGTGTGTAAACGGCGCTACCATGAACAAAGATGTATTTTCTATTTATTTATTCTATATGCACTTGGAGAAGTCATGATCAGAGAAATGAAGAGTTGTCTTAAATGTTGTGTGGGGTGGGGGGTGAACCCAGAGCTTTCTGTGGGCAGCAGAGGACCTTGGCTCTGGTTTGGAGAATCTTGCTGTACCATAGTAAACACACAAAGGATATCCTTCTCCTGCCTGCTTGCTTTGTTTTCCGTGAGCGCGGCCCTCACTTTAAGCCAGATCTCTAAGGGAATGAGATGGATGGGATCGGTGAGTGCCTCTCTCACTTCCAAGGAGAATTGTACGCCAGCGTCCTACCTCGCCCTGTCCCGAGGGGGCGCCGATAGGTCCTGGACAAGAAGCTGTCACTCACTCACCGCGGGCCAGGCCCAGGACTTGCCCTGGCCTCCACGTTCCCAAGCGGTCAGGTTGCTGGCAGGGTAACGCCATCGTCCCCCAGGGGGAAGCCAACGGGGTCTTGGCTCAAAGCAGGACTGTCTCTTCCTTCTGGACGCCAAGCCCGGTGTCTGAGGACAGCATGGAGGTGGAGAAGCGGGTCCCAAGCAAGCGGCCGAACAAGACGGGGCAGGGCCAGCCTCATGTGGGCTGCACCGGGAGGGCCTCGCCGGATCTGGGGGGAGGCGTGGGAAGCAGAGCCGGAACGGGTGACCCGGCGGTGCCCCAAGCTGCACCGCCCCAGAGGCAGCCACAGCCAACGTGGCTGTCCACGCTTAATCCCAGTTGAATACGAGGAAAAACTCAGTCCTCAGGGGGCACTTGCCACGTGAGACGGGCTCGGGGGCCCTGGGGCTGGTGGCTGCGTCCTGGGCGGGGCAGACCCGGGCTGTTTCTATCCTCACACAAAGGTCTTCTCTTGGTGGTTTCCGGAGAGCCCTTGGGGCTCCTACACTGGGCTTCCTCCATCTCCGCCCCTCACGTGTGTGCGCGTGTGTATGAGTGTGCGCACGTGTGCATGTGTGTGTGAATGTGTGGGTGTGTGAACGCGTGAGCGTGTGAATGTGTGCGTGTGAATGTGTGGGCCTGCGAAAGTGTGTGAATGTGCGCATGTGAATCAGCGTGTGTGATCTCGTGTGTGTGCGCATCCGTGTGCCTGTTAGTGTGTGTGTGTCCACGTGAGTATGCTCGTGTGACCGTGCACGTATATGCGCATGTGTGTGTGACTGCGAACGTGTGTGTGCTCGTGTGTGCTCGGTGCCCTCTCTGGGGCCGGCCCTGCACCGCTGGTACCAAGTCCTCACAGACACGTCGGCCGGACCGGCTGGGACGCCCGCGGCCGTGGCTGGGCGGATGCGCGACCCCCGCGCTGTCTGGGACCGTGACCTGCGGCGGAGCTCACACTCGCACACTCGTTCGGCACTGACGGGAGCAGGAAAGAGCCCGATGGGGGAGCAGGCGGCCCCACCGCCAGCGAGTGGCAGGCCCGGGGCGGCGAACTGGCCTCACCTGGGGACCGACGAGAGATGGGGACCCAGCCTGGGCGGACAGAAAGCTAGCAGAGGTGGCGGAACATGGGTTGGGGAGCTGTGTGAGGGGAGCCGATGGGCGGATTTCAGGGACCCCAGGACTTGATGGTGGGGGTGGTCCCTGGTGACTTAACCACCAGCAGTGTCCCTGCTCCAAGGAGCCCGTGCACTGGCTTGGTGACAGGACCGGCCCCCAGGAAGGGGCGGGGGACCAGGCAGAGGGAGCTGCAGATGAGCCGGCGGGGCAGTGGGGTGGCGGGGACCCTTTGGCCTCTGCTCCTTCACCCGCGCTTACAGGGCAGTCCCGTGTGCAGGGATGGGCCAGCCTCGGCGGGCTGGGGGCCGGGGCACAGGAGGTTCTAGAGAAGGAGCAGGAACTAAGCAAGGAGGACGGGCAGGAAAACCGTCCCAACCGGGAACCGAGCTCGAGGGCCTGGAGACAAAGGCTGGGGAGACAGCGCAGCGAGCGGCAGGGGCTCTCCCTATACGCAGAGGGTAGGAGAGACGGGTGTCCACTCAGACACCCTGCAGCGGCCTCAAGAGGTCAGAGTTCAGACTTAAAATGCAATGGCTCTGAGTGAGAAGCAGGATGGGGTAATTTCATTCCCATATCCACGGACAGACTGGGTGGTCCCCAACCTAGTGTGTGTCTGTGTCTCAGCCTCGTCACCCACCACTACGTCACCAACCGGTCCCCATCCTGGCCCGAGGCACACAGAGTCCTCATCACTTTTCACCCCTCCACCATCCGAGGCACCCAGGGTCTCTGCCAGGCACCTGTGACCTGTTCCTTATCCCGGGCACACGCTTCCCTCTTTCTTCTCCGCGGGCTGATGCCTGCTCTCTCCAAGGCTGAGGGCCACGCAAAGCCTTCTCTGACCCCCCTCCCTCCTTCCTCCCCCTGGGCCCAGGGCCTGCACCACCACCACGCACCCCCGCCTCGGGCTGCCACCCAGCCCTCCCACCAGCCTCGCTCAGGGCGGGACCCCCTGACTTCCCGTGGGGATAGAGCAAATGCAGCCTCCAATGCTGAATGAAGGCATCAGCCAACCGGTCTCTGCCCGCTTTCCCGAGGCCGACACCCAGATGCCCTCTGAACCCACGTGGCGCTCCCCTCCCCCAGGGGCACTGGAAGGAGCGGGAAGTGAGGGGCGAGGACCCCCGAGGCCTGAGGCTCAGCTCTAGACCACACACGTGGACAGGGTCGCTGTAAAGCAAAGCAAGTGAACTTTGGATTTCCGGGACCCATAAACGTCATGGTGACACCACCTATTAATACGCCAGAGGGTCATGTCGAGAAAAACCAACGTACGCACCTGAGTTTTAAAATACTGTATCACGGGCTCCTGGGTGGCTCAGTGGGTTAAGTGTCTGCCTTCGGCTCAGGTCCTGATCCCAGGGTCCTGGGATGGAGCCCCACATGGGGGTCCCTGCTCGGGTGGGGGGGAGTCTGCTTCCCCCTCTCCCACTCCCTCTGCTTGTGTTCCCTCCCTCGCTGTGTCTCTGTCAAATAAATAAATAAAATCTTTAAAAAATAAAGTTAAAAAGATAAAAATAAAGAATAACAAAATAAAACACTGTATCCTTAAAAAACACAAGCTGTCGTCTGACCCCGGGGAGTCGTCGTCTCTGACCGCAGCTCACCGGGACAGTCGCAGGGACGGCGAGCGAGTCTGAGGTGCAGCGGAAAGCGGCCAAGTGGGCGGCGGACACACGCGCCAGCAAGGGCTGGAACGACGGCGCCGGCAGAGCTGCTCGACCCGGGGCCGCCGCGAACCTTCAGCTCTAGAAACACGCAGCGTCTCTGAAGCGCAGTAAGACCCGGCCAGGCTGTGAGCGCCCACAGGCACCTCGCGTGCCCTCAGCAGCAGTCGGAGGCCTTTCGTCCCACCGAGGAGACGAACTTCGATCATTTGCGCCACAAACGCGGGCTGCCTGGGCGTCCCCGGTGCCTGGATGACGTCTTCGCTTAGTGAACCCGCACAAGCTGCCGCGGCTGGGAGAACCCCGGTGCCCGCCCTCGCGGCTGAGTCCTGCCCGTGCACACGCGCGTACACACACGCACGCTCGCGCACACACACACACACTCGCAGGAGCCCCCGCTGCCCCCCTGCATGGCTGGCCTCCACTTTGGACCTTCCTTGTCTCAGCTGACAGACAACACACAGTGACCTCGGCGGGAAACACGGCCCCTTCCTTCTCGATCCCCCAGAGACACGAGCACAGGAAGTTACTTTGCCGAAGGCTTGGGGACACGGCGGAGCAACCACCGAAGGTAGAAAACCAGTCATCACGGCCGGAAAGCCCGTCCGCCTCCCGTCCCCCGAGGCACACGCCTTAAGCAAATTCCTGCATGCGGCTGCTGCTCTGGGACATCAGAAGCCCCCTGCCCTTACGCAAAGAACTGTTGTTTCCCTCCTCTAACTACAGTTTAAAAAGAAAATTGGGGGCCCTTGGGTGGCTCAGTGGGTTAAAGCCTCTGCCTTCAGCTCGGGTCATGATCTCAGGGTCCTGGGACCGAGTCCCGCATCGGGCTCTCTGCTCAGCGGGGAGCCTGCTTCCTCCTCTCTCTCTGCCTGCCTCTCTGCCTACTTGTGATCTCTGTCTGTCAAATGAATAAATAAAATCTTTAAGAAAAAAAATAAATAAAAAAGAAAAAGAAAATTGGGCAGCACGCCTGGGTGGCTCAGTGGGCTGGGCGGGTGGGCGTCTGCCTTTGGCTCAGGTCATGACCCCAGGGTGCCGGGATCGAGCCCTGCATCGGGCTCCTTGCTTGGGGGGCAGCCTGCTTCTCCCTCTGCTTTCTGCTCTCTCTGCTGTGCGCTCTCTCTCTCTCTCTCTCTCTCTCTCCTGACAAATAAATAAACCCTTTTTTAAAAGTTGGGCTAAGCATTTCTTCTCTTATCCAAACCCTCATCCGGGTGCTCTGTGGAGCAAAGACAATTTTCTCCGGGCCCCACCTTGAGCAGCCCCGAGAATCTACGGAGCCCCTGATCGCGGTCGTGCTAACTGTGACGGGGCTGTGAACACACTCACCTCTTGCAAGGACCGTCTGGAGCGGGGGCAGCAGGTGACAGTTACCCACGTTCTGAGCAGGTGCCGCCCGGGTCGTCCCGGAAGGACGTGTGGAGAGGGATGTTCTGGGCCCCATCACCCCCTCCAGGTTAGGGAAAGAAGGCGAGAGGCTCTGCCTGGGGGGCCGTCCCTGACAGAAATTCCAAGAATAGAATGTCTGCCCTCTCTCCGGGGCGCGTCCCCAAGCCAGCGGACGGGTGCCAAGAGAACCCCTGCTGGGAGATGGGGTATCTGCAGGAAGACAAGATTGACATTTTACTTCTCAGCTGGACTCCAGCTCACAGGCCACCCGGCTGCCACCCAGTGTCCTCCGGAGAGCTATCCCGTGCCCCTGTCCCTCGGCATGGCGGAGGCTGAAGATGTCCCTCTGCTCATCTGGGGGTGACTCAAGGACACAGGGAACACGCAGGTCCCAGGAGAACAGAGCACAGCCTCTGGGGAGACGCACCTTCCTCCTGGGCTGGGCAAGGATGCACGGGGTTTCCCAGGAGCCATGGAGCTTACCCCCCGCAAGCATGAGCCTGAAGGGCCCTGCCCCAGAGGGGAACCCTTACAGGAAGGGGCTGTGGGGCCTCCAGAGGCAGGAGCTGAAGGAGAAGGTGGCTTTACCAGTATTTAACTGGA